AATTAAGAAGCCTTTCTCTTCTTCGGCCTGAAAAAAGCCACACCAAACAGCCACTTCATTCAATTTCATATTGGAGACCATCCAGGCATGACAACTCAGATTCAGTTTAGAAACTGATGCAAAGCAATATAAAATGAGTGAATTTTGTGCATTTTAATTCAGAATAAGCTGGGATTTCACAAACTTTTTTGAGATTCATGAAAAATGCAGGTGGGGAAGCTATCTTGTTTTTCTGAATGTTCTGTAAAAACAGAAAAGACTACAGTTGCATGATTATTGTTCTCACCTGCTCATTTTAAAAATCCATCTTTCCTACTTTTTTATCTTACCAAATTAGGAATTAGGTAAAGTAGACAAAATAAATGCTGATGAAACTTCCAAACATTGACATTTTTCATTTGGTTCTTGATTCAATGCAATATAAACTTCTGAAGATCCTTGGACAGTATATGGCCAACAGGAACAATATAATGGATGATTATGGTGATACTGATGATAACTGTTGCTGTTATGTGCCATCGAGTTCTGTCCAACATATGGCAATCTGAAGAATGAATGTCCTTCAAAACATACTACCCTTGACAGCCCCGCTTAAGCTCTTGAAAACTCAAGAGTGCGGCTTCCTTTATGGAATCAACCCATCTCAGATTTGGTTTTCCTCTTCTTCTTCTGCTTTCTGTCTTAGAATTATTGCCTTCTTTGGTTAGTTTTATATTCTAATGATGTGTCTGAAGTGCACTTTTTTGCTTCCAAGCAAAGTTCTTTTTTGCCTTGATCTAGAAACCACTTGTTTGTCTTGCTGTCAGTCCAGAGTATCTGCAACGTTTTACTCCACCACCATGTTCTGAATGCATCCATTTTCTTCTTTTCAGCTTCCACACTGATGATAACAGATAGAAAAGACTCAGTGTAGTGGTGAGCATGTAAGACTGGGGTGGCTTGTACTCAAATCCCTACATGGCCATGAATCCCAGTAAGGGTATTTGAGGCAGTAACCTACAAGTTTTTTGTGAAGATGAAACAGAGAAATACACATTTACCTTATTATTCTTAGTCAATAAGCCATGATTATTGAGACCCAGTGTAGGGAGGTAGATTGAATGTTGGACTGGGGATCTGAAGCTCCAGGTACTGGTCCCTGCTCAGCCATAAAGCTCACTGGGTGACTTTGTGCCAGTCACTCACTCTCAGCCTAACACAGGGTTGGTTTTGTGTAGATACGCAAGTAAAAGATGTGAAGGATGACTGTGTGAGCAGGGTTGGGTTCCTCTCAAGGGGAAAAGAAGGTAGGCGTAAAGGCATGATGATGATGATGATGATGATGATGATGATGATGATGATGATATGGCACATAAAAACTAGACTGGAATTATACTTTTCAGAGCTGATCTTGACAATGCAGGGTTCAAGTGCACTGACAACCTTTTCTTGCAATGTATCAAGAACCCAAGAAGCTTCAGGTTTGCAGGCTATGTAGGTTGCTATTTTCTCTACTCCAACTTCAAAACTTTGGGAAAATGGGTTGAGGACTAAAACAGGCAGATGAGAGAATGCTAGTTCTGAGCTACTTTTGGAGTTCTTCTCATAATGGCTCAATGGTTTCTGAACGGAAATAGGCCATTTCTGAAACTATTCTTGTTAGTAGAGCAAACCTGTATTTAGCACTGCCTGTACTCAAGTGTCACAAAAGTACATGTAAACATATAGCAGTCTGTTATGCAAATCTGTGGTGTATAATCTGTAGGAAGATATTAGTAAGGCTCTCCTTATGCTATGACATTTCCACTTTCCAACATCCCTGGGTCATGGGAAGGAGGGACTGCCTAGGACAACCGCAACAATTGTTGCTTAAAATGTAGTGTTACATTTCAGGTAACATGATAGTTGTTGGCTGTGATCCCTAACAGGAGGCATGGTGACCTCAGACATATTTCCAGTGCTTGGTGTGATTTGCCCTAACTATGTTGTTGCTTGCTTAAGTGACTTCACTGCTGAATCCACCTACATTTATCTGCCTTGCTAGTGGGAAGGAATAGAACAGCCTTAAATATCACATCCTCTAGAGACAGCTTGATTCTTTGAAACAATAGAGATTTATACTATGGCACTCCCTCTGTACTGCATTTATACATGGATTTACCAACCATGTACCTCCATGAATGGACGGCTTACATGATCAAAGACGTATGAAACACACCAATCAACAATAAAACAGATCAATAATAAAAGAGCAACTTTAAATAAAATTGACAAAAATGATTTTAAGAGGTCTTTAAAGGCCTTCAAAAGCCTAACATAATAAAAAATGTATCTGCCTGGCACTGAAATGATCCAAAAGTAGGTGTCGGGTAAGCTTCCACAGGTGAGGGCCATTCCCTGACCTTAGTGACCTTGTTGCACCTTGCCCTGTGTGTGTCTTAGTTGTTATGGTTGTATCTTTCTCTTGGCCTCAGAAACTATGGACAGTGGGAAAACTTCTTTACTGTGGGCACTGATAACAAGCAGTAGAACCACTTAGAGCTATCATGCACAGTTTCTTGATGGCATGAACAGAGTCGATCTCTGTGCAGCTTATATGTATAAGTTTAGGGCTTGCCACTGTAAACCGACTTATCCCTATGTGTCTGTAATTGTCTAAAGAGTGCTTAAATTGCCCTAGCCTTTCACTAAAGGGATGCTCACACTGATTTTGTTTGTTTTTTTGGCATCTTGGATATTTCACATATATGCATGCCATTTAAAAAAAATGCTTTTATATACCCTGAACATCCAAAATACCACATAATCAGAAGAAAACACAGGATTCAGGTCAAGCAATCACGTTTGCTAGAGTTCCATTCTATCAAGTCATCTCCAACTATGCATGAGTGTCTTCCAAATGTCCTGTCCTTGACAATCCTGCTCAGCTCTTGTAAATTCAAGGCTGTGGCTTCTTTTATGGTCCATCTCATATTTGGTCTCCCCCCCCCCCCTTTTTTGTCCCCTCAATTTCCCTAGTTGTCTTCTCGAGCACCATGTTATGAGTGTATAATTTTTCTTCTTGTCAGCTTTTTTCACTGTCCAGGTTTCATAACCATAAATATGTGACTGACAATATAAAAGCGTGGATGATCTTGGCCTTGGTCTCCAGTGAAACATCCTTACACTTGATGAACTTTTTTAGTTCCTTCAGTGCTGCCCATCCAAGTCTCAGTTTTCTAATTTCTTGGCTGAAGTTTAGCTAATAGAAACACGTGCGTAAAGACCCAGTGCTGTATCCTTCACAGTGTCCCAGCCATGCTCAGAGGTATAGGCCTTTTTGCTGCATAGGATTGTTCCCAAAAGTTCAGAGATACCTTTCCCTGGGTCAGTGGGACCTAAGGGGTTTTGTACTGTATGGTACCTTAAGTAAATGAGAAATAAGAGATGAATAAGTTCCTGATGCTTCATTACATGTTAGTAGAGCTGTGTTACAGAAGCCGTGTTAATAGAACCTTTGGGAATCTGGGGTTAGTTCTCCCTGAGAACTAAAGAAAGCTCGTGGATACAGAAAACTAGAAAGCCAGGGCACCTAAAGCGAGGGCCATTCACCCTGCTGTTCAGGTTTTGGCGGGTGAAGGCCGTTCCATCACGTGGGTACATTCTGCAGATTTATGTGACAAACCCAGGTACAAGTTCACCATCGCAGTTGGAAGTAGGTTAGGATGGTGAAAACCATTTGAGAACTTTGCAATCTAGATATATTATGCTTCCATCTGTCCTACGTAGTCAAACTTGTGTTTGTGTGCATCTCTCGCTCTGTGTGTGTGTGTGTGTGTATGAGAGAGAGAGAGAGAGAGAGAGAGAGAGAGAAATGGAAAGAATTGCAAACACCCAGCCATGTCAGGATTCTGCTGTATGATGTGTCATGTAAGATAAAAAGAAAATTATAGCAAATAAATGCTCTTCCGAAACAAAATTGATGGACTTCTCCCATATAATATATGGGAGTGGGTTTCTTGCATCATTCCCCCATAGCCTAGTGACATCTTACTGGGATGCAAGACTTTCCATTCACCCTTCATCCCACACACACTTGGAAGGATGCCATGGGCAACTCTGTAACAAATGGAATTAATCCTTTGCCCAGTACAGCACAGAGAGCATAAGCACCCAATTAACTGGAAAGGGATCTCATTGATGTCAGTGACTGAGACTTAAGATCCAGTCCATGCATACCAGCTCATTTGCATATGATTCCAAAATCTAGAGATGACTAGAGATGTGGAGACCCAGGAAAGGAAAGGAAAGGAAAGGAAAGGAAAGGAAAGGAAAGGAAAGGAAAAATTGGGTGCAAAACCAGTTATTTTCTGATCCTTTCTCAAAAGTAAGAGCACCCCCTCCTTTTACAGCTTCTTTTTGGGTTTTTCACTCCTCACTTACATGAGCGAATGGCCTCACCTCTAATACCTCTAATACATCATCACAGAGAGAATGGTAATATCACCCAAACAGATCCTTTCCAACTGAGTCCGCTCATACATCCACATGACTTCATGCAAACCATTGTACCCTCAGTAGTCAGCCCTGCCCCTTGTTTTGCATGTTCAGTACAGAGTCTGAAAAGCGGGACCTGTGCCCATACAGAAGCACTGGAGTAGGCTGCCCGTCACTGATAGTGGCAGTTTTTCAAGCTGGTGGAGAGTCTCCATATGTATCACTCAACAACAGGAGATAAAATGCAGTATTACCTTCCTTACCACTTAGCAGAAGGGACGGGTACGTAGATGAAAGAATGCTCAGATTCAATGCTATTGGTTGTGTACTAAAATTCACCTTGATCAATTATTTCAAATTCAGAATAAGTGTGGAATTATTTTACTTTAGGAACTTAATTATCTTACCTTCTGAATACCCATGCTACTTGAATTTCCTGTACACCCTTGGGAAATCTAGGCAGAGGACAGAGGATGCTTGGAACTAGAAGGTGATAATCAATGCTATTCAGCAACTTCTCACTGTGTTCTGTTCTATTATCACAGGTATTCCTAAATTTCCCAAAGAGAAGATTGATCCTATAGACGTGGAGCATGGTGATGCGATGGTCTTGCACTGTAACCCTCCCAAAGGGATTCCACCATTACACATTTATTGGATGAACATTGGTAAGTAATATCCCATGCCTCTTTGCACCGTTGAAACTCAAATCCCTCTTCCACAAGTTGAACATAATTAAAATGGTAGTGTGCAGTAAAATGCCTTTTCTCTGGGTAACAGCACATGAAGATGAAGTGAAAAGCTTTACAAAAAATTAGCAAGGGAATCATGAAAGGGATTATAAAGCAATTGTATAGATGAATGTTGTATCTTAACTTCTGCTGCCTGGCTGATCTCAACACAATACGAAGAAACATGATAAGGAATTAGTGGAGTGAAGCTGGTCCAGTGCATCCCATTTATGTACAGGAAATTTTCAGGACCGTTAAAGACAGCAGGAGTGGCAAAGAGAGCAAACCCAAATTATACACATATGGGAAGAAAAAATTGATGGTAGAGGTTTCCACGGGAATCATGATGAAATATCAGATTATGTGGCAGGATAGAGGATGGAAAAGACATGGGATATAGCCTCCGGGTACTAAACTGAAGGGTCTCAGAGGGTCCCAGGGAGACCTTTCTCATCCTTCTCCAGGGTCCTGTGACTTATCTTGGTTGACTTGTCACCCATTAATTTTTTCTTTGTATTGTCTCATGCTACCTGATTTGGGCAGGTGGTATACCAAGCATGCATCTGGGTGCTCCAGGGGGAGAACTTCACCCTGTCCCTGCATCAGAGAAAGGATAAGCCAGTCACATCTCGCTTCCCAGAATGCTGCTCGTTGAGTTTGGACTGGATGTCCTTCTGTGCCTCCTCCCACATTAGATAGCAATATGTATTCACTTCATGGACTTCAGGCTCCTTTGGGGCATCTCTGATTCTGTTGAGTGATGCTCCGGAATATCTTCAGTTTTTCTGTCACTGTCAATTAGTTTATTTACTTTATTTATTACATTTCTGTACCACCCATTCACTGAAGCTGTCCAGACAGTTTGCAACAATTAAACCATAAAACATGACACAATAAATACAATATAAAAGTTTTAAAATGGAAACCTGCAGTGTAAAATCAAAAGTAGGACCTAGTGGAAGAACAAGGGCTTAAAATACAATAACAGATTATAAAGCAAAGCAAGCCAAAAGGATGAAATGCTTGGGAAAATGTCTTCACCTTGTGCCCCCAAAAGTGCGGTGCTTGTGCTAGGAAAGCTTCTCTGTGCTGCGCCGAAAGACACCCCCAATTTACCAGCTGCTCACTTCACTTCCTTTGGTGCAGGCTTCTGGAGAAGGAAGGTTCTGAAAGGTGTCCATTTCATACTGAGACTTTTATGTATTTCACTGACCTGTATGTAAATCCTCACAGTTTTACCAGGAGATAATCATCTGGAAAAAGATTAACTGATAACTTTAAAACTTCTGAATATTGTATTGGCAGTTGGCATCAGTTCCTTTTTACTAATGGATTTATGAAACAAATAAACAAAAATAATAAAGAGGAATAAAGTACTGGAACAAATTCTGCCCCATTTCACTGCCTAGCACACAAAATAAGAAAAGAAGTACAAGTAGGCCTCTTGAGGAATAGTCTAGAGCAATAGCTCACAGACTTGTAATAGCTGGAAAATTTAGTCAAATCCAGAGGAACGATGCATAGGAAATAGAACCTTAGGAATTTCTAGAAAATTCACTAACTGTTTTTAGAACTAGGAAATATTTTTCAATCAGTAGGATGATTGCTGCCTTCTGAACACACACACACACACACACACACACACACACAGAGAGAGAAAGAGAGAGAGAGAGAGAGAGAGAGAGAGAGAGAGAGAGAGAGAGAGAGCGCAATATCATTGCATGCAGAATCAATGACTATAAATATGTGTTCTCTGTGATAAGAAATCTATAATATAGGCCTAGATGGTATAGAAACAACAACAATCAGCCATACTTTGAAGTTGCGCAGTTAAATGATGCATTTGTCATATAAAACGTTGCATCCTGTCAACATGATCCTTATGCACCATTGATTATATAGCTGCAGATCAATAAATACCTAAATAAATGCAAGCCCTTGGTGGCTGAGTATGGGCACACCATTTTCTGCTGCTTCTCAGACACTTTTCCTTTCGCAGGCAGTGTTGTAGAAAGCTGGTGAAAATTGCACAGATGCTTTCAGACCTCATGACTCTTTAACATCAAAGAGTCATTTTCTTACCTGGGAGCAAGTGTTTGACAGAAGAGAAAACTGTCGTCTTGATAGGGGTGGGAGGTGGGGATCATTACCATATCATTATATTATTATTATTATTTTTCTTTATAGATTTGCAGCACATCCCACAAGATGAAAGAGTCTCCATGAGCCTTAAGGGAGATCTTTTCTTTGCAAATGTGGAAGAAAATGACAGCCGCAGCGATTATTGCTGCTTTGCTGCATTTCCGAGACTAAGGACTATCGTACAGAAAATGCCAATGACACTGACAGTTACACGGTGTAAGTCTGAGAATTCAGTTTCCCTCTTCAGCCCTCCCTCCTTCCCCAAAGGTTCTGCCTAGCCACAAACCTGCCACTCCTCTGGGATTTCTTCCATTTGACATGTGTTTTTGATACAATTTTTACTACAGAAAATACATGCTAATACACTTATTCTTCCACAGCTGTTCTTGCTATGAGAGCTAGATTTGGCTCATTCAGTAGACCAGAACCAATCCACCACCATTGTTCCTCCAAATCACGGCTGCAGTTCTGGTCCCGTACTTTGGGATGAGAAAAATCCAATCATGATGCATGCCCGAAATCAGCCTCTTTTCCAAAGCCTGCAAATGGAGCCTCTGAAATAAGGTCCTGCATTGTTGGAGTGGCAGAGCTGAACCTTGGGGCATCTGCCATCAGCATACCTATAGATCCCCCAGTATTTGTTAGATAAGAAATATAAGCGTTTGCCATCCAGTCAAAGCTGTGGAGCCGAAATCCACACAGGGAATGTAGTGCAATGTAGTGGCTGCAGGGGCAGCTTCGGTGGCCTGACTCTTCCGCTCCTCTGGCCATTAGCCACACCATTACAAAGGGTTCCCCATTCCTCTCTGCTCCTCTCTGCTCTGTCCATGTCTATCAGTATCCACATGGTCCTCTTATATGAGGACCGGCAAATTACACCAGTTCTCTTAAAAAGAGTTTTCTACCAAGGATCGGTGCCTATGATTGGTCTTCTGTGGCCAAAAGCCTGACAGGGAACACTTAATGATGTCAAGGGAAAACTTCTTGCCATCCTGCCTCTGATCAAATTGTCCTGTCTAACAACACTGCTTATGACCAGTTTAGTGTCTTCTTCCGGTATAGTACTGGCCAGATGTCTGATCTGGTTGCTCCATACAAAATGCATGTATTATTTTCGCAGTACAAGACTTGTGCTTCATTATACTTTTAATTGCTTGATGAGCAGGTCCATACATTTGGCCCATAAGTCATTATCATTTTTAAATGAAAATGCAATGTATGGTTTTCAATACGCATCGGAAGCTCAAACTCTTCAATTAACATAAGGAGACTTAGTGCATTCCTCTTTTTGAAGCTGGAAAAATATCTAAATTTCCCAGGAAAGGGACAGAAACAGGATTCACTCAAGAAGCATCAGAGTATCTTGTTTTCATAGAAATTAGGTTTTGCAGCAGAATAAATTTCCTGCATTTTTCAGAAGATAATCAACCTAATGTGTTTTTTTTCAAAGCAGAAATTTTCAGTTATCTGTTTCTGTGATTTACAGCCACATCATTCAGATTTTTAACCATTTTCACATTTTTTTACCATTGGCAATTTATTCTTCTCAGGTCCATTGTGATTGGGAAAAACATAAATAACAGAAAGAGGTACTACAGACAGAATGAGGAAAAAATGCAGACTGTTATCTCTAGAATGCATGCCAAGAAAAAGAAAATAGAAACAATCTTGTTTGGTGATCCAATTAGTATTAGAGCAGAGATGCAGAGAACTATCTTAAGTAATTTTATTAGTTGTATAAAAAATGCTTTCATTATACTTTCCATATAATTCTTTCGACTGCAAGCCTAGACATACTTATAAGGAAATAAGCCATGCTGAAAACAGTAGGACGTCTGAATAGACATGCATAGGATTGGGCTGTTTCACATTTTGCATGAGTAGGTTCCCGTTGCCTTGAAATTTTGCTTTAAGCAAAACTGGGTAGGTTCTCTAACCAAAATGAAGTCCAGCTAATGTATTTTATGCTAAAATCAAAATACAAAGGTTAAAATAACTGAGAATGCAACTTTAGTTTACACAGAAGCTTTCAAGTAGCTCCCTGTGTCATAACATACCAAATCTTCATTAAAGAAAACAGGAAGGAGAAAATGGAGAGATGAGAAAGTTCGAGAGAGAAAATGAGAGAAAGCAAAAGCAAATAATTGGCATTAGCGTTGGTGTTAATATCACTTTAAGCAGCAGCTATCAAGCTTGCTGAAAAATATCCAAGTTCACAGTCTCAGGTCTGTGAACACACAACCTCTCACAGTGTGGGGATCATACTGTGGGGAATGTTATGTGTCTCCTTACACAACCAGGTTGACACTGAGTGGAGATTCATGTTTGTCACATTCACAATATCACTGGGTCTGTATCTGTATACAGGCTGGCATGACAAATGTTCATAATGCACTTGTAGAAAAGTGTGTAGACCAGGGAGAAGTTACTGTCCAACCAGGCCGAGTTATATTCTTCCAGGAGGGACGGGCTCCACAGAGGTTTGTTTCCTAAGGGTGTCCCCTAAGTAGGCTGACTTAACATGACAACGTAGATCAACTTAAAATTATCTGACTCAGATGCCTTTGCAGTGTTTACATTGTGTTTGCTTTAGTTCATTATCACTGTGCATGTTTGCATTATATGTTTCACAGTCCTACTGTCTGTTTTGAGACAGAATAAAATGGTCATGTCCTGGGGAAATGCAAGGAATCTGAATTGAGCCTGTGTGATTTATTTTTTATTTGGAGGGGATTTCTCTTACAGGGAGAGTTTCAAAAGCCCCTTACAGTGTTGTACAGGTTGGATTGAGCAAATGTCATTTGGGACAGAAATTCCAATCTTTCTTTGGTTTGATTGCTTCCATCTTTAATCCGTTTCATCACCATTTATGTTTCCATTTGGTTTCCGTCTTTTGTTTATTTCAGCAAAAAATACTAATGATTCCAGTTCATCTAATACTGCTAAGGGTAAGTTATCACTATTTAGCATCTGGGTCCACAATTTCTGAATTATAGTTTTGAATAGAAGAAAATACCACACTTCTCCACTTATGTTTGTAGGGAGAAAATTTACTTACTACATGAAAATATGAATAGAAAAGCATAGGTTTGGGGTGTAAGTAATATGGCCATATAAAGAGAAACAACTTATAGAAGAGACTGTACAAGCCACAAGTCCCCATTTATTTATTGCATTTATATGCTACTGTTTTTCCAGATGAACTTTACCACTTTAAGCTCCTCTAATGGATAGACACAGGGAAAAAAAGGGTTTGCCTCTGACCCCAGTTTATTGTGGCAATACACCTGTGTGTCACGTTGACTTGTCCCAAGGTTACCCAATAAGAGCTAACCCAACCTTTCCCAAGTTGCCACCTTCCAGTTGTGTTGTACTACAACCCCCATCATTCCCACCTAGATAGACGTTGGAGCCCATTACATCCAAAAGGCACTAAGCGTCAGGAAGCTGCTCTGAGCACAATCGTCTCAGCCCTTTGTGCAGCATCGAAAACAGTTTCTAAATCTCCTTTAATGGTAAAATCAGTAAGGGGTGTGCTAAGCCTTTCTATTATTCTTGTTTTGCATATTTAGAAATGTTAGCTTCTCTGAACATAGGCCAGGCCTGTTTATTTTCCTCCAAAACCTGCTATGCAATTCTTTTTTTTTTTTTTCCAGTGTCTAAGCAACTCCCATCAGGTGAATAGGAAACGTCCTGGAAAAACTGGAGGGAGGGGGCAGTGGTTTCTCTCCCACCCAGGCTGGGATGCCAGTGCTGTAGTTGTCCTGATAGAGGTCCCATCCCTTCCTTCATACAAAAAGGAGATGTGAGAGCAGGAACATCACGGAAGTGTCTTTTGTTACAGTTTTATGGATATCGGCGGGGCATAAGCTAGTTTGAGGCACAAGATGCGCCACTGTAAATACGTGGTTTCCACTTTAGGAATGGAAAACCTCCTATGTTTGCTACATCCCCAAAGTTGTATCCACAACTTACAGCTCAGCACTGCTTTTTGAGGTATATGATCCCGGATGCAGTAAGTGTACAATAAGTGAGCGATCTGTTGTACATCTAAGCCCTGTGGAAGGAGAATGCCATTTGATTTCTGATACATAATACCAGAATGAACTACCACTAAGATTTTTATAGATCTGGACTGATCAGATCAGGAAGACGTGAACATATCTTATAGCAAGAGCTTTGAAATTACTTTTCACCCACTTTGCAGCAAATCTAATCAAGGAAAGGAGACCAAAACTGCTTATCCCTGAATCTGCTGGCCACAGTTCTGAAGCGACTGTCTTGAAAGGAGAGGATGTTTTTCTGGAATGTATCGCTGAAGGACTGTGAGTGTGCCCATTTTATAACTCTAAATTAACACAGAGGCAAGAAAAGTTTGCAATCACCATGCAATATTTGTCCAACTTAAATAGGGGTAGATGAGAAATTCGTTTTATTGAAGTTTTATTAGAATTTAATGAGTTTGTACCTCTCAAAGTGAATGTGGATGTGAACACAATCTGTGGTCAAAGTGCGTCTTTTAAAATGTGCAATGTGATTCATGAACACCAAAAACATGTTTGTCAGAATGCACACCATTGAAAAATGCACCTGAAAAACTGCACGCTTTTGATAGAATGAACACAAACATGAGAGAAGTATGCATGCATTTGAAAGAGACAATGCATTTATTTGGGGAAATATTCATTAAATATTTTAAATATCCGTATAAAAGAAAAGGAGCAAAGACCACAATCTGTTACATACGTGAGCTGGAAAAAGCATTGCAGTACAATCTGGATAAGTTCCGTGAACTTGAGTTTTGTTTTTCTATACACATCCCTAGAATGAAGTCTATACTTGCCCAGAGCGACCACTACCATGCAAGTGGATAAATGTGGCTGTGGGAAGGAGATGCAAGCAGGAATCAGTCTGCGAGTAGCACAGCAGTGCCTTCGTGCGGTTGGGAGGCACCATGAGGGCTCTGCTTCCAGAAGCGAAGTATCTTTTGCCAGCACTGCACTCTCAAAAGCTAGGCTTGCTTTTTTTAATGGCAGAGGTATACAAGCTATGGCCCATTGGTTGCCACTGCCGTTTTTTCAACCCCCCCCCCCCCGGCCAAAATTCAGCAGCATTGCACCAAGGAAGGGCTGGTTTGAAAGAAATATCAGCTCTTAGTTCCTACTGCACTGCTATGCCACTGAATTTGGGTGGCAGATTTGGACGGGGGCAGTGGCCAGTGGCTTCCAGAAAGGAATCGCTCTCCAGAATCCTGTAAGTTGTCCACTCCTGTTTTACAGAGGCATGCGAAAGTTATCTTCAGTAGAGCTGTGTAATAAGAGCAAATGCTATTACAAAAGATGCATGCCAGATCATTCTCCCCAAACCTGATTCATTTTTCCTGCCAGCAGACTTGTGACAAACCAAAAGGGTTTTTTATCAGCTGGATGTTTGATTGGACAACCTCAGCACTCTAAAACAATAGTGGAGCAATTCTTCTCGTTAAGTCCTTAGGCAACCACAATATTCAGGTGGCCATTCTGCTGTTGTCTGCTGGTTAGTGTGACTGAAATCAGTGCCATTTATCCATGTGTAACTCTAATCAGGCTTGAAAGCCAAAAGTCACAGAGCTTTCACTCATAGTGGCAGCCATTATTTCAAGCACAATGATTATGAAAATTGAAACATCATTTCCCCCTTTTATACGCATGTATGCAATCCATTACATTGTTGGGAAAGCCGGCACTTTAGTACTGTAGAACCTGTGTTTTCTAACAGGCAGATATAAAAGGACTCCATAAACTGAGAAATGCACAATGTAAGCTGCAGAATTCTCAGCATACGGAATTAATCAAGATTGTTTGACCAGCATTAAATTCCCATTAATTAAGCAGTAATTAGTGGACAGCCCTCGTTCCATTTGGTTATTTTTGACATACATGCTTCCCACTCTTCCCCTCTGCCTTTATTTGAGAACTACAGCTTCCCACTTAATGGGGGCAACACTGTGAAGCAAACATTTGCCAAAGAGAGCGGGAAAGCAGCTGGAGCCAGCCGACATCCAGCTGTTGGCAACAATGGACTTCTGCTCAGCCCCAGGCCGCCAGGAGCCAATCAGGGCACAGGCTGGCAAGCTGGGGGTGGAACTTCTGGTCGGACTGGTCTGCCCTAAGCCTCCACTCTGGTTTTAGCACTGACATTAGTGACAGTGAGGATTTAATTCAGCTTAACTCCAGGACTGGTCTACCTGTGGCTTGCTTTTCTGCAGTTTTTGGTTCAGGTTCCCCATTGTCCCTCCTTTATGGGTTGCCAGCAGGTAAAACATTGCAAAACGAAATGTTGATTTGATCGTGCCACTACATCAAGATCCTTTTTTTGTGTGGTGCTTGAATCAATATATGGATGTTCTTGTCCACATGGATAAGCCTTCAAGAGAAGAGAAAAAGACAAATGACGGTGGCAAGTGCTGCACACCCGGGAGCCTGAAACAAGTTCAGAAATCCAAAGTCAAGGGTGCCTCAGTTGATAACTCAGCAGCATCGATCCCCACATGTGCTTGAATTCAGAAGCTCAAAAGCAAGGGGTCAATTTAGATGGGTAAAACAGTGATGGCTGCAGGGTTTGGGGGTCTTTGGGCAGATGCTGCTGTTCTTCCTTGTCTCCCAAGACCAAGAAGCAGAGAGGAAGGAGCAATGAGAAGGAAGAGCACCATTAGCTCTAGGCGGCCTTTTGCTGGGCAGGGATGCAGGGAAATTCCATTCCGAAGGTGACATTGCAACGGAGCTTCCTGATCTGGCCTGCGGATTCGGCTCCATTTTCTCCCTGTTGCTACTCACTTGTTCTGTCATGAGTTGAGCTAGATTCTGTTTATAATGGTGGCAATTTGCACATTTTGAATGGGGGAACATTGCTGTCATTCAGATACAATATGCACAGGAGTTCATAATCACAAGGCTACTAAGTAGGTCTGCATAGGACATATTCCCTTCCTGTCCATTTCCTGCTCATGCTCTTCACACACTGCTTCATTAGTCGAGCAGAGCCATATTCTGCTGTTCCTGAAGAGCTCTCCAGTTCCATCTTCCACTTGGCGATGCCTGAGTGAAAACGGAATGGAAAATTGGCACGCCCTTTCACAGGTACACAGCAAAGCTCTACTGGGCTAAACACAGTTTCTACGGATGCAATAAGATTGATAAGGATACTGACAAGAGGAGAATATTCTCCTGTGGGTTTACGTAGTGGATGCTATGACACACCCTTGTGCAAAACTGGAAAAAAACAGTTTTTTTTCTGGAATTGAGGAAAAATCCACTAGAGTCTGCCACCACTTCCTGGAATGGAAATGCTGCAGAATCCTGTTGGTTTAGAATGGAACAGAATTCCCAGTGCCGCATATCCTCACTGCTGAGACTTTTGCAACTGTTCAACAATGTTGACCCCTGAAGTCAGCCCTGCTGGAGGATTTCCCAATAAGAAAGAGTGGTATTTAAATCACCATAATAATTGCCATCATGGTTGTCACCAACTCTAAAATGTACAAGTTGGATACTTGCAGTTTACAGCAGCAATCAAGCCCCAAATGTAGGGCATACTAGCATGTCATGGCAATCATGTGAATTTGCCACACACTTTAAATAGAGTCATTGAAGGCTTTTCGGAGCCCAGAGGGTTTATCTACCTGGAGGCTGCCCTTCATGTCCCTCTCTGACTCATCATGATGTATTGTATTTTGGATTTATAGCCTGCCTTTTTCCTACAAAGGGCTCAAGGCAGCTTACATCTCCTCCTTCATCTTATCCCCACAACAACAACCCTGTGAGGTAGGTTGGGCTGAGAGTCTGTGACTGGCCCAAAGTCACCCAGTTGGTTCCATGGCTGAGCGGGGACTAGAACCCAGGTCGTCAGAGTCCCAGTCCCATGCTCTTAACCACTACACCACCCTGGCTCTCCTTGCTTAATAATCTTGCTTCCTTCCAAGCAGCCTCTGCCAAAGAGTCCTATCGCTTTGATCTTGAGAATGTTCTTGCATCATCCAGTTTCTCCTACTGCAAAGGTGTACTAGAATAATTTGCTCTCCGTGGGCTTCTCTATTGCATTTCTCATAATTCCAAGATTGCCTCGTCCAGGGGCTATGTGACAGCTGTAGAACAGTGAGAAAATAGGCTCCTCTTAGGATAGAATTCTTAAACATGATAAAAATATTCTTTGGAAGTATATGCATGAAGTGAAGTTCAGCTGTAATTCAGAAAAAAAGAGTACATTTTTCATCAGAAACATGAAAATGCCTCATGTACGAAGATGTATTTGCAAGGCAGCAAGGCAGCGATGTCCTATATTCCACTCTCTCACTCTTCCCAGATGTTTATATTATTTATGTTGCAGTGGGATTTTGTGGGGAAATCCTGGCTCTTGTTTGAATCTATGCAATGTTCCTAATAGGAATGGGTGAGAAATAGGGAGGAGAGAGGAGCATTCAGTAAAATACTGACCAGCAATACATGGACTTTCTTTCCTGAGAGGCACAGGGCAGAATGCAGTTCATGGGCCAGACTAAGCCAAACTTTGCTACAAGCTATCTTTAAGAAGGTATTTAAAGATATCTCCACTAGAGTAGATACTCTAGAGTCAGAAAAAGAATGGGGGAGATGTCTTCTGAAGAACATGAATGTCCCTTCTGGTGTAAACCATCTGCCCATGGGAAACCATACTATCTTTCAGGAATGCAGAGCTAGGAATAACCTGAGTCTCGGCATATTGCCCTCTCAACAGATGGACACAAGAGTAAACAGACAGGACTCTGGTCTCTGCGCATCACGTACAGCACTGGCATCAGGAAAGCCAGCTGGGAATGTTAAGTTAGCAGCCTGCCCTGAACTTCTGCCTTGCTTATTATGAGGGTGCCCCATTAATTCTGCAAAAGACAAAGTCGCTTTTATATTCAGTTGCTGAGGGAATTAGCTCTGGCTGGGCGGACACAGAATTGATTAGTGTCATCACAGTGAAATCTTTAATGCCATTTATGGCTATGAAAGCCATCGTGGAATGGAATGAGACTAGAATCCCCACCTTTGCTGTTTCCTGCGGCATTTGAAGCCATTTCTTAAGCTTCTGTTGGTAATAGCCTATCCTTTTCCTATTTGTAGTATCGTTTCACAGGAAGACAACACAGGTTCCAAAGAATTCACATTTCTGATCTGATGTCCAAGATGTATGTATATGACCAAGATGTATGTATATGACTATGTATGTGGGAGAGAAGTGATTTACAGAAGTCAGTGACATAATAGAACAAAGATAAATGCACAAACTCTAAATGCATAAGCTATCCAGCTATTTTTGCAGGAGAAAGGGGAACAGTGATGTATTTTAACATAAATCTTTTGCATTTCTTCTCCATGTCTGCTGACCATTCTCATTGTAGTCCAACACCACATCTGAGCTGGAGAAGAGTTGACAGAGGCAGACCTAATAGAGGAGCCGTTGAAAATTATGGGAAGATCCTGAAGATAGAACAAGTCACTGCAGATGACGCAGGGACCTATGAGTGTATAGCCCGAAATGATTTGGGAGAAGCAAAGCATGAGTTCACTGTTGGCGTTGAAGGTACTGTGGCCATATTAATGGTGACGTGTTTTGAATGAAATGTATGATTGGCAGTTCAATTGCAACTTTTTGGTCAGTGAAATGTCCGTGCTCCCCAGAATATACACTGGTTGCACCAAAGGTATAACTGTGACACACAACTATATAAAGTGACTGCCCAGCACTTAACATTCCTCTCTCTCGCAGTATCAGACACCAGCGAATACAGGAAGTTTACCCAATGCCAAATTGCCAGTGGGAGATGCTGCACTTGATGAATCCCCTGCCTTGTAGATCTGATAAAAAGCCACAATCTAAAGATGTTTGTGCACTGTAATATTAAATAGAGCCTGAACATTTTCTGATTCAGGGAGATGAATTGTGTAAGTCAGGAGCAGAGAACCTATTTGAGCCCGAGGGCTGAATTCAATTTCATCTTGGATGCTCCAAGATATTTTTGTCAAGGTCAGAAATACAAAACGGGTTAACTTTGCTGTTCAGCAGTCAGCTGACACGTTCAACAACTCAGGTGTTCACAGGGATACGTCTTCAGGTGTACATACCCTGGCATGTGACCAAAGTGAATTCAGGTATGCTTCCTAAGAGGTCACCGCACATTCTTGTCACTGTACCTATATAGACCCATATAGACATGCCTGCCTGTGGTTTCCATGGGTATCTATAGAAGGAAAACAATGCCATGAAAGCAATATCTGTCTAAAAGGAATTGTGGCACATGGGTTAGTTTCAGCTAAGAATGAGTTCTATAGCATTGACATGCAGGGAAGCATTCAGCTCATGATTTGATGGATTCTAGCATAGTCTCTGCTAAAACACTTACCTGGGATTATAATTATATGCTTCTATATAGGATTACAGAAATATGGTAGCATAAAGGGTCATGTGTGCTTTGTCTTGACAGTGAGGCTGGTATAGCATCAAAAGATGAAATAAAGGAAAAACAGACGTCCAGTGTTTTTTCAGAATGCATGTACAAGGCACAACTGTTATCAGCTAAATTGCATCCATACATTTCAGTGAACAGTTGTTGCTATGCAAGCTCCTCTTTGCACTAGAGTTTTTCTGTTTTAAGCATGAATACCACTTTTCTGTTTAAAAGTGTTTCCTGAACTGTAACATGCAACAACAGCTCCACAGGTTTCATAGGGAGAAGGAATAAGTATCTACTCAGCTATAATGCATATATGCCATTAGATTGTAGCCTTAACAAATTTACCAGGGAATTCCACTGGACTCGTCAGAGTTACCTCTGAGTAAAGATGCATAGGATTGCATTGTTAGGGAAGAAGACATAGAAAGAAACAATTCTAAGAGAGAGCTCCTGTACGGAATTTTCACGGTTCTAGTCCTTGCTGGGTGGGGGCGGGCAGGAAGCAGCCATCATAAATCATTCTGTCTAATCATCTCAGGAAATGACCTAACAGAGGCATGGAGGCATGGAAGAAAATGGCCTGATATATTTTCCAAGCACTTATACAGGTGGTGTGAACTCCTACTGTGTTACTCCAGTATGCATGCTATGTAATCAATGGTGGACAGTCACACAGCTTAGCTGGAGTAATTCTCTCAGTCTGCAAGCTCAGCAAATATGATTCTTATGGCAACTGGCCTTTCATATGACACATTTATGGGAGTAATCTTCAGGCCATGTTGCTCAAAGCTGTGCCTGAAAGAAGTCCCAGCAGCATTGCAATGGTATTACAACCATCTAGACCTCCAAGACTGATCACAATGTATGGTTAATAAAATTAAGCATACTCAGGTGCTTTCCCATCTCCTCCAGAGAAGTAATTCAAGTAGAGTTCTATAGGCTTGTTATTTTAGTAATAACTAACTCTTGCCTTTTTAGAAGGCCAGGGCTATATCCACACATGGGACATGTGAGGCTAGTAGAGTAAAGGTAGAGATTTATTTATTTATTTATTTATTTATTTATTTATTTATTTATTTTATTATTATACAGTAATAAAATTCAATATTAAAACATATTAAAATATTGATTAAATAAAAAGGTCTTAAACCTGGTGCTGAAAAACTTATAATGATGGCACCAGGAGGATCTCTCCGGGGAGTGCATTCCATAGACGGGGTGCCACTGCAGAGAAGGCCCTCCTCCGGGTACTCTGTCTCCTAACATCTTTCACAGAGGGTTCCCGGAGGAGGGCCTCTGCTGCTGATCTCAGGGGGCAGGAGGGCAAATAGGGAAGAAGGTATTCCTTTAGGTATCCTGGTCCCAAGCTGTTTAGGGCTTTATAGGTAATAACCAGCACCTTCAATTGAGCCCGGACTTCGATGGGAAGCCAATGGAGCAGACTGGGCTTATATGAGAATAGTGCCCAGTCCCCAAAAGCATCCTGGCAGCTCTGTTTTGAATCATCTGAAGTATCCGGACTGTCTTCAAGGGCAGCCCCACATAAAGCGCATTACAGAAATCCAACCAGGAAGTAACCAATGAATGTGTTACTGTTGCTAGGCGATCCTCCTCCAGGTAGGGACACAGCTGATGGAGTACCCGAAGCTGAAGGAAAGCGCTCCTTGCCACCACTGTCACTTGAGCTTCCAAGGACAGCTCCAGGTCGAGGAGCACTCCCAAGCTGCGGACCGTGGCCTTTAGAGGGAGCGCAATCCCGTCCAGGGCAAGAGCCAGGTCACCTACCCAGGAGTTTGAATCACCCACCAACAGAACCTCCATCTTATCTGGATTGAGTTTCAGTTTATTGGCCCTGAGTTTTAGGGCTACCAGTAAATAAAACCAAAACCTAGAAGGTAGGGTTAAACACCAAGACATGTGCCATGGGTATTTTCTCTCTCTCTCTCCCCCTCTCCCTCCCTCCCAGATCTTGTTACACACACTTGCTGCCGCCATGCTACTCACTGTTTATATAAAAGCAAGCAATGCGTGTTCATGAGCTGATATGGTTCTATAAACTTTGTCTTTGGTTCTATGAACTTTGCATATCCACAATGATTATTTGGTATAGGGGGATAGGGGGAGTTTGTCTTCTGATCGATCGACTGTTTTCCTGTAATGCCTTTCTGGGATCCACAAGGCAGTTTGCAAAGATTTTGTAAAATAACAACCACAGTATAATAAAGCCTTTCAAGGCTTTAACAGCAAAACACCACTGTTAAAAGGGCTTGAATGCAGGGAAAGAACACAGGCAGTCACAGCTCCAGAGGTGGTGCATTTCAGAGCAAACCTGTGCAGGCCTGCAAGATGCTGGTGAAAGCCTTTATCACGAAAGGAGTTTTATCTAAATGCCGCTGGCCAATTGTGCTTTGTATCTGCGTTTTGTGAACAAAGTCCTACATCCAGGGAACTATGAGAATTATGTTTCAGTTTACAAATCACTTGAATATGCCACATTCACCATCCTGGATGTGAACAGGATCACAAATATCCAAACTTGCATTCATGTTTGCAAAATGTGCACGTGAGTATGAAAATAGGAACCTTTCTGAGAATGTGTAATTTGAGGAATGGAGGAAGCCAAGGGGAGATACATTGTTCTCAAATTTCTGAACGTTTTGTCTGAAGGGACTCTATGCAGATTTGGGGAGCTTTGCACAGCTTTCATGTTTGACAGCTGTTTTGCACAATTTTCTCATTCACACAAAATGAAAAGTACAAACACAAACACATGGAAAAGAGGTGAGTAGCAAGCTGAAGTTTGAGGAACCTTAGTGATCTTGAATGACACTTATTCATTCATCTCCAAGTATACCTCATATGGTATATGATGAAAAATACACTGTCATCGTGTGGACAAACTCTCATCATTTTACTTGCAGTTAACAGCAGTATCAAATAATAAAACTGCCCATACCACAGAGAAAAATGAGCACAGAAACCATTAAGCTGCACACATCTGTTCCCTGCTTGATTTTACTATTTATTGCTCTCTTATTCTCCTGGTCATAGGGAATCCAGAGAGGAAATAAGTGTTTCAAATATTTATTTTTCATTTTTATGCTACTTTATAAATTGATGGGACACTTTTTGTAAATAACTCCTGGATCATCACCTGCTTTTCTACCTGACGGTTTGTGGGCAATGGGGCGTGTGAGGAAGGGTGGAATGAGGGATATTGCATTAGATATGAAACAGCTACAGTATTACAAATTTGCTGACTTAGAAATCACCCAGATGGCTTGGAATGTGTCTCCGCTACACTTGAATATCTTAACAATCTGGCTGAGAATTTTTGCCTGAAAAACTGAAGCCTTCAAAAGAACTGCAGGGGCTGCAAAATCAATCAAATGCCAAAGAAGTCACAGCAATTAAGCGGTGTAGAATTATAGTCCCAGATTCAGATGAATTTTCCAGTCTCCATTTAGTAAGAAACAGAAATGGAAAGGCATCCACACCCAGTTCACATCAAAACAGAGCTGTGTTGATTTGTTTTGTTTTGTTTTGTTTTATATTTTATTTTATTTTTTGTGAGCAATGAAATCTGTTGAAGAAGACCAGTGATGTTGACAGTAATTCAGCTTATTCCCAGATGTCTGTCCACATACAAGAGACTAGGGATATAATGAATGAAATAATTAACCAAACAATTAATAGGCCCGATTCCTTTCTTTCTCTCGAGTTTCCAAGCAAAAAAGTCAGCACCATTAATCATCTGCTTTCCCAGCGCATCACACACGAAGTGCCATGCTCACTGAGCTCAGCTTCCTCACTGGTGATCTTGGATTCCATTGGAACCACAGTCAAGTAACAACCACACCTTGTTGCACCTTTCTTTCTTCCTTTTGAAGCACACACAGAAAAAAATATACGTCAGACGTGCACATTATGGCCTATGCAGATTCTCACCGCTTTTTGCACCTGGTCTGCTCTCTTCCCTGTCAATACCGGAGAAATGAGACCACAAATATTTACATGGTTCCTGTCATCTCTGCACTTCAAATCAGAAAGCTTTCTTCCTAGCTGCCTGGTGTTTCTATATTTCTCTCACGCACATCCTACCCTAATTTGAAAGCAAAGACTGCTTGGC